GCTACTTTCAGTATCATTTTAGCTTTTAGCTAGTATCTTACTACCTTTAGTTTTTAGCTGGTGTTTTACCACCTTCAACATTTTCTTTTCATTTTAGCTCTTAGCTAGCCTTTTGCTACTCTTAGTTTTCACATGCTGTGTTACTACTTTCAGCTTTTTGTTAGTTTTTGCTTGTAGCTAGCATTTTGCTACTTTCAGTTTTTAGCTGATGTTTTACCAATTTTAGCTTTCTGTTATCATTTTAGCTAGTATCTTTCTACCTTTAGTTTTTGGCTGGTGTTTTACCATTTTCAACATTTTCTTATCATTTTAGCTCTTAGCTAGTCTTTTGCTACTCTTAGTTTTCACATGCTGTGTTACTACTTTCAGCTTTTTGTTATAGTTTTTGCTTGTAGCTAGCATTTTGCTACTTTCAGTTTTTAGCTGATGTTTTACCAATTTTAGCTTTCTGTTATCATCTTAGCTAGCCTTTTGATACTTTAGTTACTTTATCTTAAGTTTTACAGATTGTTTTGCTACTTTCAGCTACAGTTTTACTTTTTTTAATGTTTCTGCTCGTGTTTTAGCTTAGCTTCAACAGCAAAGTTTCAGCTTTTTCTGTTTAGCATCCAGACAGAAGATTAGCTGACTGGATGTAGCTTTACATTTCAATAACACAATTCAAGATGGCCGCCAAAGCTAACAGACACTAGCAAACACAAATATGGCTATAAATTTTACAGCTAAAGAGCTAAACTTTAGCGTGGTAAAGTTTAGAATCAGCATTTATAGATTGTTGAAACTTTAGTTTGAAGGCGGTGGGCGACATGCATTAATTTTAATTTTAAACAGCTAAAATGGTTTTGTTTTTAATTGATCCGTTGTGGCTGTGAGGTATCAGAGATATTTGAGATTAATAATAAAAAAACTGCACGTTGTTTCACATTGTCAACTTCCTGAAGCAGTTTTTGTCTTTAACGCTCCCCTGATCCTGTCAGCCCATCTGTGTGAGAGCGTCAGTGAAGGATAATCAAAACTCAATAAAATAAGAGCGCAAACAGAACTGGTGATTTGGGATCTGGAGGTGACGTTAGAGTTTGCTCTGGCTCAGGTTTTGATTGAAGGCGCTCGCTTCGCTCATCTGATGTGTGCGCACATTTGGGCTGTACACCTGCTTCCGCCTCGTGCTGGAAAACAAAAGCACATTCTTGCACATCCAATCCAAGCGGAGTCCATGTGGAGGCTTCTTATCGAAGCGTTAGGATTAAAAAAAAAAAAGGTTGACCGGGACGCCGGCGTCTCCGGCGGGGAACTTCAGACCAGTTGCTGCAGCTCTGACAGAGTCTGCTGCACAGTCTGGGCTCGGGAGCGGGACCGACTGCTACCGACGAGACGGAGAATCTTTCTCATTATTTGGCGAGGCTGGTGGGTGTTTGGTGGAGGGGGGGCTCCGTCTCTGCATGGTAAGCCCCTCGACGCGTACCCTCTGCAACTAATCTCACACAGTCAACAAATAAGGCACATCAGATGCTGTTTTGGCTGCGGCCATCAGAGCGGCTAAGTTCAGTGGATTCTACGGGTTTATCTGCGGGGGGGCTCAGCGGGTGGTAGCAGGTGCACCACAATACGGTCAGACCCACTCCAGCTCCCCTGGTCGGGGGGACCTGACTTGGCAGTGTTGGAGGCCCACCTGTGCCCCCCCCTCATCAGACAGGAGGTGGACGAGTCGGGTGGAGAGACGAAGACACAAGACGGGGGGAGGGGGGTGTCAGAGGGACCCCTCACCTTCCAAATGAGGGATGTGATTAATAAGGTCCATTACAGACACTCCACTGACTTCCTGTTGGACTTAATGGGAATGTATTGAGTGGTGATATCACAGTTAGTCTTAATGAAGATCCAACATGGCTGCCTCAAACAGGACGAGGTCGCTTCAAATATTATTTATCTTTCTCTCCAGGATTCACCTACATACATTTAGATGGTCGTTTATAGGTACGCAGCTCTGATTTACAATAATAAATAACATTAAAAAGAAGATTTGACTAAAACGCTGTATCGGACACTATGGATTAAAGAAAAGATGTTGTAAAAGAGCAAAGTGATTATTCTGAGAGTTTCAATAAAATATTAGAGCTGGTAAATCTGGTTCATTTTATGGAACTGGGGTAACTAAGGGAACTTTTGTACCAGAGGAACAAGTCAAGTTACTTGCATATTTATGGAACTTTTGTACCAGTAAAACAAGTCTAATTACTTGTGTATTTATTGAACTGGGGTAACTAAGGGAACTTTTGTACCAGAGGAACAAGTCAAGTTACTTGCATATTTAGGGAACTTTTGTACCAGTAAAATAAGTCTAATTACTTGTGTATTTATTGAACTGGGGTAACTAAGGGAACTTTTGTACCAGAGGAACAAGTCAAGTTACTTGCATATTTAGGGAACTTTTGTACCAGTAAAATAAGTCTAATTACTTGTGTATTTATTGAACTGGGGTAACTAAGGGAACTTTTGTACCAGAGGAACAAGTCAAGTTACTTGCATATTTAGGGAACTTTTGTACCAGTAAAACAAGTCAAGTTACTTGCGTATTTAGGGAACTTTATCAGAGCAACAAGTCGAGTTACTTGCATACTTAGGGAACTTTTGGACCTGAGCAACAAGTTGAGGTACCTGCATATTTAAGGAACTTTTGTACCAGTAAAACAAGTCAAGTTACTTGTTTCTTTAGGGAACTTTTTATCAGAGCAACAAGTCGAGTTACTTGCATATTTAGGGAACTTTTGAACCGGAGTGCAAACTAATCAGTAGTCTGTCAGGGGATATTAGGGATTCAGGTTAATTCAGACCTCAGATTGGTGGGAAATGATTTATGTGTGTGTGTCTGTGAGGACTCAAATCATTAACTAGAGATAAGGAACCAGTACTATAAAATATGACCACTGATCCACAAGATATTCTGCATATATTTTTGACTTTAACAGTCAATGCCCAAGTTTTACATAAAAATCTGTGTTGTGAATTACATTTTCCTACAAACACACCCAGTGTTACCTTAATATCAGTCAGAATATCTGTGTTGTACAGAAAAGGCTGCAACTTAACAAGTTCCTTGTTCCATACAACAAAATCAAAAGTCTAGTGTTTTTTTATCCATAACTTGAGCTGATGTCCAAATTACCAAATGACCTACAGGAGTCACTCATTTGTTTCTGATGTTGTTTTAAGAGTTTCTTCCCCCCTAATTAAATAATATCTGACAACTCATTTATGATCTACAGGCTAAAACAAATCTACAACTTGTGTCTCTATTTGCTCAGAACAAGT